GTCCATTTTATTTGTGATGGGAGAAAGAATGGTGTCAAGGGAATACAACTGAAATGACGAATTGTCTTATTTTCCTTTCTTAATTTGGCTAGGCTTTCTATACATTTTCAGTGTAAAATTCCAGAATTCCATCCTTCCAAATATACCGTTCAGGAATTCCGGTTCACTTATGGTGCCTTTGTTCTTTTCTATGTGCAGATCGGATGTAACAATTACAAAGACGAACTTGCTGCAAGAAACTGGTATGAAATTGCGCCAGGACTAAGAAACTATGGACTATTAGCGACACAGATCATTCATCAAAACGGAGACATATTTGAAACCGCAGTGACTTATAGGTTCTTTTGGTCAAAAATAACTAACTGCAAACTTTACGCTGATGAATTGCATGAGTATCATGCATCAAATCCTGGAAAGCATGTGCATGTGCGCATGTGAACAGCTGCGTTTTGGTGTAAAGTTTTGTGGAGAATTGGCCAATTTTCACTGAGTTTCATCATTTATTGAACTCACGACAATAATTTTTTCAACATTACGAAGTGTTTTTACAATACATCAGTTCATCTGTAAACAGCACCTTCAAACAATATGGAATATTTTGCAAAATATAGTTTAGAACAGTTGGCTGAAGTAAGTGGCTACATTTTCACTAGTGCGACTAAACCTTTGCTGGGTAGTATATATGGGGGCGGTGGGGTAGCCTAGTGGTTAAAGCGTTTCTCTCGTAGCGTCGAAGACCCGGATTCGATTCCCCACATGGGTACAACGTGTGAAGCCCATTTCTTGTGCCCCCCGTGGTGATATTGCTGGGATATTGTTAAAAGCGGCGTAAAACCAAACTCACTCACTCCAGAAATATGGCGGCAGAACTATAACGAATATAAACTCTGTCAAAAAAGAAACGCAACCCCTGTATTTTAGAGATTTTGATCTGAAGTTTTAGGACGACACGGCATTTTTATTATTTAAGACAGAAGTCTGACATTTGGCAGAATAATAACGCAGATGGGCATGTTTAAAATTGTCATTTCAAAAGTCATCTCACAGACACCAGTTTGTCACCAGGGGGGCGTCTTTCTCAGTATCTCGTATGAGCACCACGCGCTGCAATCACTGCACGGCATCTCCTTGGACAAGAACGGATAAGACGCCGGATTCTTTCCTGGGGAATGGCTCTCCACTCCTCCTGCAGTGCAACGGCGAGCTGTTGCAGCGTCTGTGGCGGCGGCTGACGTTGACGTACGCGTCGATCCAGAGTATCCCACAGGTGTTCAATAGGGTTGAGGTCTGGTGATTTAGAGGGTCATGGCAAGACATTGACGTTGGAATTCTGCAGAAAGTTCATTGTTGCACGTGCAGTATGAGGCCGGGCGTTGTCCCGTTGAAAAATCTGTGTCTGTTGGTCAATAATCGGGAGAAGGTGAAGCTCTAACACGTGGTTGATGTAACGTGGGGCTGTCAGGTTCCCTGGAACGATCACCAAGTCTGATTTCTGGTTGTATGAGATGGTTCCCCAAACCATGACGCTTTCTCCGCCAAATCTGTCCACCTGTCGGACGCAGATGGGCGCAAAACGTTTATGACGTCTCCTATACAGACGCTGTCTTCCGTCGTGACGTTGCAAAAGAAAACGTGATTCATAAGAAAACCAGATTCGCCTCCAGTTTTGTAAAGTCCGTATCCTTACGTTGTTGCACCACCTGAGTCGTCGGCGTCGATGTAGGGGGCGTAGTACAGGTCCAACAACTGGTCTACAGGCACGTAAACCCGCTTCTTTCAGACGGTTCCTAATCGTTTGAGCTGACACTCTCCTCAAACCTGGTATTTGTGTGGCAGTCACGGTTGGTAGGGCATGCCGATTACGCAGGTGATGGACCCGGATGTACCGATCTTGAAGGGGGGTCGTGATTCTTGGCCTTCCACTTCTCGGGCGATCGTTGGTCAAATTGAAGTTGTTGTAGCGGCTCCAAAGTCGGGATATCGTTGTTTTGTGAACATTTAGTTGCCGTGCAACAGTTCCAAAACTTTCTCCGGCTTGAACAAGACCAATGGCGATATTTCGGTCGGCAGCACTCAATCGTGGCATTTTTAACACAGCTTTTCGGCGACAAATGAATGAATATAATACGGAAGCACATGGGCTTTTATACACCCCTACATTAACTGCCATTTTCATGATTTGCATGTGTTTTTTTGGTGCGAAGTCACCCCGAGGGTCATTTCATGCGTTGTGACGGAATAAGCAATAAAATACACTTATGCGTACAAATGCAGTTGTTTGGATGGTAATCTTAATTAATTACGTGTATCATTTCAATACATTCGAATAAAATTTAGTTTGGAAGCAATAACTTCATTCAAACGAATTTTCATATCTGAGGACAGGGGTTGCGTTTCTTTTTTGACAGAGTTTAGATACAGCGATGTTATATATAAAATACTATTACCATGTCTTCATACACGAACATTGATGGGTACAGCGATATTCTGTTAATTACTAGCATACATTACCATGTCTTGAAACACGAACATTGGAGCATTGTGGATATGTAACGCTCATTTGCCCAACGTCTAGTTCATGTTCAATTGATAGTAGCAGCGCACATTTAGGTCGGAATCGGAATCTTTTGGTTTGCCAAAACGTCGATACCATTCAAGTGTGAAGCCTTGGTATACCATCAAAGACGATGTTATGATACTTCCCTTGAGCAGCTTGAGTGAGTGAGTGAGTGGGTTAATATTTAACGTCACATCGGCAATATCTCAGATATGAACATAAAACTAGCATTTAAAACTAAAACAATGTAATTAAAGAAGACAGTACAATGTAGAACACGGGCTGTAGATCGCCAGCATCTGAAGGTAGATCACCATACTTGAGCAGCTTGAAGTTACTGAAGCGTCATCATAAAGTATATTACAACCGAAATCGGAAAACAGCCTATAGACATGCATGTGAAAATCAGTTGCAATATTCCATCGCTGTAGAAAATTCCCTGCACGTTTTTGCTTTTGTGGCAGTTAAATGTAATAACGCGAACTAACCCTGGATGCACTGTCCGTATTGTAAGCTTGTATAAGCCTACAGCTTGGAGTTCCCAAGAGACACAGATTAGAATAGGTTCCAAGAATCTCACATGAGGTCGGAAAAGGCGTCTTAGTTTTTTTAGGTGGCAGGGCCTCAGGCCTACCATACAAACGGTAAACAATTCATCAAAACTGGACTAATATACACCAAAACAGAACAAAAATCACCAAAGTAGGATTATAAACTTCCAAAACCGCAACAATATCCGTTAAAACCGAAACAATACATCTGTAAGTGAAGACTAATCGTTTGAAATGGAAACAAAACTCGCGTATCAGCTACAAGAGCGTGCGAGAACGGTTGCCGAGCGTACAAAACGGCATTCATAGCATCCCAACGCGGCAGTCCTAGTATCCCGAAACGGAAACAAATCGTCAAATATGGAGGCGAGGAGACACGAATAGGCTTTGGTACATAATGTCTTTCGTCACTAGGAGTCTAATGATGAAATTTTGATATGGGGTTGTAGTGCATAAACCCCTTATTGTAGTAAGCTTCAAACATTTGTCCATACTTCTCAGTGAGAGGCTTGCAATTCTGCACAATGTGGTCCCTCGTTCGACCGAATAGGATTTGTTGCTACTGTTTCTCTTCAGTTTAGTAAATAAAGTATTCATAGCATCACATTCAACATTAGTATATGTTAGTGATTTAAAACGTTTACAAAACCTCTGTTCATTCTCCGTGAATTGCATATCTAAGTGTTTCCATTTTAAACGATTAGTCTTCCATAACATATGTATTGTTTCGGTTTTGGGGATGTTGTTGCAATTTTGGAAGTTGATTTTCCTATTTTGGTCATTTTTGTTCTGTTTTGGTGTATTTGAGTTCAGTTTTGATGATTTGTTTACCGTTTGTATGGTAGGCCTGAGGGCTGCATGTCTAGATTCAATACTGATGAATGCATTGTTAAAGAACATTTTCTTCCTCACCTATAAAACATATGCACTTTACATATTGCAGTCTAACCTGAGGTTACATGTAGTCATATATGTCCATACGTACCGTATACATTGTACAGCAAACCTCGGTCAGTGAATCTCACATGACACCCAGCCACCAGACGTTGTATTTTGACTGGGTTTAGGAAAAGCAATACAGTTGCAATGCTCTCAGACTTGAAAAAAAATATACCGTGGGAGCAAAATCGTGCGAAATGCTGCAAGATCAGGAATAAAAACTGGAGGATTTATAGCCTATTACACAAGCATTAAGATGATATCACGTTCGGTGCACGAGCAGTATTCATATTTTCAGTTCAGTTATGTTTTATATTAACCCACGTCTCTCAATATATACACATATTATTGACAGTCGTAATCCAGTCCTACTGCTTTCATGTTAAATGATATATACTATGCGTTGCTAATAAAGGGTTAAATGATATATAGCACATGTAAATAAAGGTTTCTCAGAAATAATAGAACTAAGAGTGTCATGATAATGTTTAATCTGTTGAAAAACGTGACACATCGTGACATACAGACACAAAATTCAAACAGCAAAAGCAAACATGAGTTGTATAGACCAACCCCTCAAAATGAAAATGACAAATATAAAGGACTCGGTCATTCAATATCTTGTGTACCCTCCTCGTGCGTCCAAGACACTGTGCACCTTGTTCTCATGCTTCTTATCAAGTTCATGAAGAAAGCTTGCGGAATCGCATTTCATTCCTCTTCTACAGCTATGTGAGATCCACAGGTGCTGGGTGACGTGTGTACACACGTCGACCGAGTTCATCCAAGGCATGCTCAATTGGGTTGCTGTCTGGAGGGCAGCCATTCCATCTGCACTACACCCCACTACCTAAGGAATTCCTTGCAGTAAAGAGGGTCGAACATTAAAGCCATGCGTAGCTTGCAGGAATGATACTGCTATCAGCAGTCCATCCGGATAACGCTGTCCTATTCGACTTTCCCAAAAGTGTTGTTATCTCCCTTTACATAATATTTTAGAATTATCTCCCCTGAACGTTGTCTTCTTCCGGTGAGTAGTTTCATCAAAATGGCGGAGAAAAGTGACGTTAGCATTGTTGCGAGTGATGTAAATTTTGATTCAATGAACATGAAAGAACTTAGAACATACTTAAGAGACAGAAACCAAAAGGTAACAGGAGTTAAGGATCAACTCATAGCTCGTGCAAAAGGTGCACATGCACTGAAATTACAGAAAAATACTTCTGTGGTTGGACAATCTAACGCTTCTGGTACCCTCGGTATTTCTTTGTCAATAACATCAAAGCTTTGTACGCCGAGTGGTTATCAGATGCCTGATCCTCTTTCATTAATTACTGGATGGAGCGATGATCTAGAGTTGCTGCCATTATTCACAGAGAGGGACATATACAATTACCTGGTATTGAGCACCCATCGAACTGTGGACAGTAAACCCATGAAAGCTATTCGTCAACTCAAGGCAGCGATATTTTATGAAGACCGGCACGTCCACAGCATAGCTGTTCACGGTATCTCTGACGACTGTGACCATCTGTTTGTCAGATGTTTAGTTATACCATCTCTACCAACAACAGATAAGAAGAGTAATCCTGACCATCACGTCTGGGTCTGCCTGTCTAAAGTAACAGGCCATATCAACTCTGCTTACTGTACCTGTGCAGCTGGGTAAGTTTTCAGAGTATTTCAGATAAACATGAATCACTTTACAGTTCCCTGATAGTAGATAAATTCGTTGTGGTTTTTTGTTTTTGTTTGTTTTTTTGTTTTTTACACCTTCGTTTAAATCTAAATATATATATCTTGATGAAGGATGGCATTACATAACTGTAATTAGATCTTGATTAGGAGAAACATATTACATGCTAATAATTTGTACTGATAATCTGTTTATTCATTGTGTATTATTGTCTAAAGGTTTGCAGTTAACATTATATTCTTCTTATTAGTGTTCACTGATGGATTTATGTCTAGGATGGGTAATATGAGTCAACTAAACACTGAAAGCACAAACTTAATTACTATTCTTTTACAGAGCTGGAGAAGCCTGCAACCATGTCTCTGCTCTGCTCTATGCCTTGGTGGATATATCACAGAAGAAGGAAGCAGGACAACTCTCGTGTACCTCTACCAAATGTAAATGGATGATCCCTCGCGATCGAAAGCTTGCTCCTTTGACCGCCGACGACCTACATCTAATGTCAAGTGGGAGAAGGAGTGTATTAAAGAGGAGAAGAGAAGAAACTAACTGCACAGTAACGTCTTCATATATTGATGAACCCTGTGATATGTGTCCCAATACAGGTATGCCCAAAACAAGCATAAATGTGGACCGATTTAGGAAAAAATTAATAAGTAATGAAAACAAAAAGAAATGTGGATTTGTAGTCACAACAGGTGTAGTAAATGATGAAGGGCAGATGGATGATGTAAGACTTCCACAGTTACATGCACCACCAGTTGACTTTTGCTTTTGTGATAGTGTTGATCTTTCCTCTCAGAGTTGTCAGAATGTGTTTGAAAATTATGCTGAAACTATCAAAGTTACTGAAGAAGAGTCAACAATTATTGAGAGCATTACTAGGGGACAACAGAAGCAGGAGAATTGGAAGGAGGCAAGGAAAGAGAGGATAACAAGTTCTGATTTTGGCAGCGTTTGTCTACGGAGATCCACTACTGAACCAGATAGACTTGTCCACCATGTTCTGGGTTACGGTAAAGATTTTTCATCAGTTCATACGAGATGGGGCACTTCCCATGAGCCAGCTGCTCGACAACTATATGTTCTCAGGATGACTAAAGACCATCCTAATGTTAGGGTAACACAGTGTGGACTCATTGTAAATCCACAGTATCCCTATTTGGGAGCTAGTCCTGATGGCCTGGTGTCTTGTGTTGACTGTGAAAAGTGCTGTTCATCATATGGACTACTTGAGATCAAATGTCCCTCGACACTCAGGGATCTTAAACCACAAGAGGCTGCTTCACAAACGGATTTCTTTTGCAAATTGGATGAAAATATGAACTTGAAACTTAAAGAAAATCACCCCTATTACTTTCAAGTTCAAGGTCAAATGGCTATTGCACAGAGAGAATGGTGTGACTTTGTAGTTTGGACACTGAAGGGTATTTCAATTCAGAGAATTGCATTTGATAAATTGAAATGGGAGGAAATGTTTCAAAAACTGAAACGTTTTTATGTGACAGCAATTGTGCCAGAACTCTTCTCCAGACGAGTGCATCGTGGACTTAAACTGTACTAATTATCTTCACAAGTATTACACCAAGTGACTTATTACTGATTGAAAATATTTGAAAATATTCTCAAATCATGATATTGTAATAATTATCATCATGTAACAACTTTCATATTCATATTCATATATTGTTCCAACGGAATTTTTAGAATTTCACATTATGCAGAACTACATAATAGTACATATATCGTCAATAGAACATACATCAACAGTGACAAAATTGAGTTTTTAGTCAAAGGGCGGATAACTCCAGTGATTACCGTAAAGGGACATGGAAAATCTTCATTATTTCAAATATAAAGCTGCAAAAAGATAAGAAAAGTTGATGATATAAATTGATGTATGAATTTATTTCTTTTAACATTTGTTGGAGTATAAAGCCTTTATTAAAGGCCTTTGATGATATTTGGTCGTACATTTGTACATTGTTTATGAATGATGAAACTTGTCATAATGTGCACCACTTGTACATTGTTCTGCCTCAATTTGTACATAAATAAAACATTTCAGTAAATACAACTATATGTCATTTGTACAATTAACATAATTAAAGATGATCAGAAGTTACTTTTACATGAGCTTCTTGGAAATAAGATAGATTATTATTACTGAAAGAGTTCAGTTATCCCAACATTAAGAAAAATGAGTGAGTTTAGTTTTACACAGCTTTTAGCAATATTCCAGCAAAATTCACAGCAGGGAACACCATTAATGGGCTACCCATGTGGGGACCCGAAACCAGGGGGGTCTTCGGCGTGACGAGAAAACACTTTAACTTCTAGGTTACCCACCACCCCATGAAAAGCAAGCATTCAGTCATTTCTTGGGAATGAAAAATATCATCTCAGACTAGATTGATTACACTATCAATGATAATCCCAGTATTCATAATAAACACCTTATCTTGCAAATAATCAAGCATTTTCATCAAACACATGTACATCAATTGTATCAGAATCCTGGTTATGGGGGTACAAAGGTGGTAGTAATGTTGTCAATGCATTGCAGATTTTCCATATTTTGTTCACAGAATTGGAAATAGTTATGGGAATGATACCTTGTAATATTCTGAAATTTTTTACTCTTTCCATGTGTCTCTCTACATGGATTCTCAAATTTGCAATTCGTCTAGTTTTCTGAATTTCTTCCAATGTCAATTGCTTTCTTTTACGTTTTAATGGAGGGATGATTAAGTGTAATCCTTTAGGGGTAGTTAAGTCAGATATTAGAAATCCTTTATCAGCCATTACTGCATCTCCAAACTCACACAAGTTTAATATACCTGATTCTATAGTAATCTGTCTGTCACTTATAGCTCCAGACCATAAATCTGACACAAAACTGACTACACCATTAGGAGTAATGCCAATTAAACCTTTTAATGTAATATGGCTTTTATAGTGACTATACATCTGTGATTGTCTTGCTACTGAATAAGGCTTCTCAATGAATATTTCTGTGCAATCTATTACAACCCGTGTTTGTGGGTATATATCCTTGAATCCTTTTGGCATAGTAGCATCAATAATGTCTCGTTTTGGCCAGGAAATCAGAAATGACAGATTTTTGTACATGAGATCAATCCATCTGTTAATTGTCCGAGCACAGGTTGTTCTGGAAACATGGAAACGGTTAGCTATATCTACAACTAAAAGCCCAAGTCGAAGTCTCATCAATAACATAAAAAACTGATCTATTAGTGACAATGAGTTTGGTCTTCCAAACTTTGATGATGGATAATCTCTCTCATAAGCTTCAGACAATTCGTCAAAAATACATGAAAATGTATTTCCATCTCCTAATCCTGTGTAAAAGTTAACTAGCTCAGGATCTGTCTTTATATCTGCAAATGTGAGTGATGGTAGCAACACCTGTGTACTTTGCTCACAAGTCTGAGTGAAGTCTGTTTGTGTACAGGCACTGGTCTGCTGTGGTGCTGATGGCTTGCCCTGACTAGAGATGGCTTGAAAGAAACCTTCATCTGTCTGAGTAGAAGTGGAACACTTCTGTACGGATGCAGTCTGACAGGATGCATTTCTTTGTGATGAAATAGTGTTCTCTGGTATGGGCCCACAGTAGTCATGCAAGAACACAGAAAGCTTGTCAAAAGACCTGTTGATCAAGTAAATGGAATTAGGAGATAATACAGGCTAAATAAGGTAATATGTTTAACAACATGTGTTCTTTTTACCCAATTTGAACAAATCGCATTGAAAAGAAAAAGAATTGTGTTTACTAGTTTACACTGGTTAATGTTAAGTCATAATAAGCAAAATAAAAGTGGTTACATCAACAAACCTTTCATTTTGATGAATGGTTGTTTGGTTGTCTTCACCATCATTGGTGTTGGCTGCACCATCTTCCTCTTTGACAGCTGTCAGAGCCATGTCAGTTCCATCAGTTATCTGTTCAAATTAGTGTTTTTCTTGGTTAGATTCTGACAATGAATATTAATGTCCTCTTCATGAAAATAACTCAATATAAATTATAGTTACAGTAAAAAACAATGTTCACAATAAAAAGAAAACAGAAATAATTTTATGATTTTTTTAGCACTGATAAGATTATCATACTATTTTAAGCTACCACGCTATAATAAAACCTAATGAAAATTTTGATTCAATTCATTTGATTTAAACAGATTTTTTTCAGGTAAGCATAAAATCGTAGTTTGCTATTTTCCATGGGTTGCCTGCAAACCAATCTACACTGAAAATTATCATAATTATGTTCATAACTGGTGCTTTGTAACTCGAACTAAATGCTAGTAAATAGGAAATATTTCAAAATCATTTCGTTATTTGTCAATTCTACTGTAAACAGGACATTTACATGTAAAGTAACTTACTGAACTACTGCTGAAACTCTTGTTCGGGAAAAGTGATGGTATGGTGATCTCTGAGGAAGGTCCCGCCAATCCCTCAAAATGATCAGAGCACACCCTAGTGTGTTTACTAAAAGAAAAATCTTTTCTCACAAGTCGTAATCGGCGAAGCCATGCTTGTCTTAAATCCTTCCTCAGTGGGACAGAATGGAGGGATATCGTCCGGGAACCGAGTTGTTTACCCCGGTGATTTTTACATATGCAGCAGTATTGCTTCCCCATTTCAGTAACGTCAAGTCACGGCAATTTACTCACCGGAAGCGCTATCGTTATAATTGAAGAGCTAAATGCAAGGGCAATAACTCTAAATGACAACGACTTTTGGGAAAGTCGAATAACCGAAGAATATAGAACAAAACCCCTGATATTGATATTTAATGAAGATTTAATTCGCGTATTTTGTGATGACATATGCATGCGACTGTCACACAACAAGCCATAAGAATCATTGTTCGGAAACGCCAAACGTTCATGTCCACTCGATTTAATACACAGAACATTTCAGTAAGTAAAGTAACATACAGAAATCCCTTAAGAGTGAAGAAAGATTTACACTCTGACATTCTGACATTTTGTGAAAAGAAATGTTTTGTTACGTTGTTCTCTTCGTAACCTCGAGATACGTGTTGTGAAATGATGTGTTTTGAAACTGATATATGCGGTAAGAAAAAGGCTTTCGGAAATCTGTAGATTAAATCAGTGTCATATAACAAAAAAGCTTCAAAATTCCTTATATAATTGAAGACGCAAGAACTAAGTCCACACAAATGTGTCATGGAATTTCAAACTTTACTCAAGCAGTACTTAGGGGAACACTTGTCCACCTGGTGCTGTAAGGAGATGCATCGTAAGTAGTCCCTGTGTATTAGCGTGATACTTCTACACCGGAGACTGTCATATTGACACCAGAATTGCGTCACACTTCAAGTGTTTTTGTAAGTTTACAAACATTCTATGATGATGTGCTCATGAAGCCCAGGGATGATAAGATGTACGGATGGACAACGTCTTTATTACAATTAAAAACGACGTTTCGGTGCAGTTTCTAATACCACTACCAAGCGAGAGAGGTCCAAACTTGTATACCCTCAATACAGATAACAGGTAGAAGATGCTGCCTGATCTCATGTCTTTACGGTCATAATATCAGTTTTTAGACAACACCAATCCAGATAGGTATACTATGACTATAGATGGATGAAAATCATTATGTCAGTTCTCGAGACAGTCCTTCGTTGCTCTTTAAAGGTTAAATTGGGCGAATTACACATGGGACGCTTGTAAACCTGCGGGACGTTTCATGAAATTGATATAGACAAGAAGTTGAAATATAATATTTTAATCCATATTTATTTGTAAGCTGCGACGTACACAGTAGAATGACTAGGATGGTGAGAATGCTGTTTATTGTTTGATTAAGACAAACGTTTACAATTTATCTTTAAAAGTTATCAAATGGTAAAGGAGGTGTCTGTACACTGTAAGCTTCCGAGGTGGTGTGGCAGAGATTAGGGGTGTTTCAATTAAAGGTGGCTATTTTTTCTCGATGCCTGTGATTCACCTACCTGGATAAAACAGATAAATAGAATAATGTAACAGTTTTATTAACCTTGTCCTATTGTAACGGGAGGGCCTATATGTATATGTTATGGTTTGTTTAAACTAGAATGGTGCCCGACTACACATTACAAAATACTTAAACAAATAAATAAACAAACAAACAAACAACTCAAGATGGATTTCCCAAGTACCGCTGACATTGCTAAAAATATAGTTCGTGTTTTCGGGCTCGTGTTTGACGTTGCTCAACATGCAGGTGTTTATTCTTCTAATGACACAGTGTTGCAGAGGTTGAAAGCAGCGTTCTTCCAGTCGCCAAAGAGGCAGCTTCAAATAATCGCCTCAAGCACTGCGCCAGAAATAGAAACAGGTTGCAGCATGGCAAAGCAAAGGTCTTTATTAATCAGTGAGGCAACCATTACTGAAACTCTCTGGAAAAGTCATTAAGTCCTTCTGAACATTCTCAATTCTTACAGCAGTTCAGCGATTAATGTTCAAAATAGATTTCTCATACGCGAACCGGATGCCCGAAAACATATCGCTGTTCAAATCTTATTGCAGATCAGTTCTTGCTGGCTGAATGTAAAAGGAAATCAGATATGGGATGTAGTTACTAAACCGTAAGACAACGACTAAAGTGTTCTGTAACAATGGTGAAACTACAGAGAAGTATATCGAATGGTGACCTATCACGGCACTAGATGCATTGGAGTCTAAATAGCAGACCTCCTGAGAGGTACGTATGTCCCAAAACGTTCAAAGTAAATTAAAACTTATTACTTTTTTAACCGCAGTGTATGTCATTTTAATTTATGGCTAGATTGCCCAAAATTGCTAGCACCTGGAGGGATGGTGTAAACTAGGGTCTATGCAGGATGCAAATGTACCCCATGGTCCCTAGAATGGTAATTTACAAACAGCTGGTGGCAATCTATATATATATATATATTGTATTGTCATTTATGGTTAAAATATTTTAGATTTAATTACGAGTTTTAAATCTATATCTGTGATAATTTAGTTGTTTAACTGCCCTTTGCAGACAGGCAAGTATATTCTCTAAATTTGTTTTTATTCGTTTATAAATTTACAACTTTCTTAGTCACGATATGGCTGAAATACTGCCCTTGTAAATATTAACTTACTCACCCACTCACTAAATATCAGTTTCAACATTAATGCTCAAAGTGATTTTACATTGTTAATGTCAATAAATTGGGAATACACACATTAGTAAATACGATATCAAGCTAGTCGTGGAATAGTTTTGAATATTCAATTATGCTCATGGACATTTAGCACAGTTTCTTACAAAACAAGGGAAAAGGAATTTGTGGTTAAGCTGCAAGACGCACACTAAGTCCCTCTAATATGGCAGTTCCATACGAATTATTCATATTTGTACCACTTCAGGGAACACTTTCCCACAAACCACTTCCTTTTGGCTGTGATTTGAAAACACTTGATTTTATCAAATTATGAACGTTGAGTTGCGAGTTTTGACATGAAATGTTGGACATTTTCCCGATCGATTTTTTTCTTTTGGCAAATAGGTCAGGGACTTTAGTTATAAACATGTTATCGCTGGTTGCAAGAATCTGGTACATGAATCCTGGTCAGACGCAGGGACAGACTGCGTACGACGCTGATCACGATATCAACCACTGGCTGGTATCTGTACGAGATATATATTGTATCTGTACGACATATATGTTGTATCTGTACGAGATATATGATGTATCTGTACGATATATATGATGTATCTGTACGATATATATGATGTATCTATACGAGATATATGTTGTATCTGTACGAGATATATGATGTATCTGTACGATATATATGATGTATCTGTGTGATATATATGATGTATCTATACGAGATATATGTTGTATCTGTACGAGATATATGTTGTATCTGTACGATATATCTGATCTATCTATACGATATATATGATGTATATGTACGAGATATATGTTGTATCTGTACGATATATAGGTTGTATCTGTACGAGATATATTATATATCTGTACGATATATATGATGTATCTGTACGAGATATGCTGTATATGTACGAGATATATGATGTATCTGTACGAGATATGTTGTATCTGTACGAGATGTATGTTGTATCTGTACGAGATATGTTGTATCTGTACGAGATATATGATATATCTGTACGAAATATATGATGTATCTGTACGAGATATATGATATATCTGTACGAGATATGTTGTATCTGTACGAGATATATGATGTATCTGTACGGAATTAATGTTGTATCTGTACGAGACGTGTTGTATCTGTACGAGATATATGATATATCTGTACGAGATATATGATATATCTGTACGAGATATATGTTGTATCTGTACGAGATATATGATGTATCTGTACGAGATATATGATGTATCTGTACGATATATATGATGTATCTGTACGATATATATGTATCTATACGAGATATATGTTGTATCTGTACGAGATATATGATGTATCTGTACGATATATATGATGTATCTGTGTGATATATATGATGTATCTATACGAGATATATGTTGTATCTGTACGAGATATATGATGTATCTGTACGATATATCTGATCTATCTATACGATATATATGATGTATATGTACGAGATATATGTTGTATCTGTACGATATATAGGTTGTATCTGTACGAGATATATGATATATCTGTACGATATATATGATGTATCTGTACGAGATATGCTGTATATGTACGAGATATATGATGTATCTGTACGAGATATATGAAGTATCTGTACGAGATATGTTGTATCTGTACGAGATGTATGTTGTATCTGTACGAGATATGTTGTATCTGTACGAGATATATGATATATCTGTACGAGATATATGATGTATCTGTACGAGATTTATGTTGTATTTGTACGAGATATATGATATATCTGTACGAGATATGTTGTATCTGTACGAGATATATGGTATATCTGTACGAGATATATGATGTATCTGTACGGAATTAATGTTGTATCTGTACGAGACATGTTGTATCTGTACGAGATATATGATATATCTGTACGAGATATATGTTGTATCTGTACGAGATATATGATGTATCTGTACGATATATATGATGCATATGTACGATATATATGTTGTATCTGTACGAGATATATGTTGTATCTGTACGAGATATATGTTGTATCTGTACGAGATATATGATGTATCTGTACGAGATATGTTGTATCTGTACGAGATATATGATGTATCTGTACGAGATATATGATGTATCTGTACGAGATATGTTGTATCTGTACGAGATATATGATGTATCTGTACGAGATATATGTTGTATCTGTACGAGATATGTTATATCTGTACGAGATATATGATGTATCTGTACGAGATATATGATATATCTGTACGAGATATATGATGTATCTGTACGAGATTTATGTTGTATCTGTGAGATATATGTTGTATCTGTATTAGATATATGTTGTATCTGTATGAGATATATGTTGTATCTGTATGAGATATATGTTGTATCTGTGAGATATATGTTGTATCTGTACGAGGTATATGTTGTATCTGCATGATATGTATGTTGTATCTGTATGAGATATATGTATTGCACTTTTTGCAATCATTGAAAACAGCGATAAAAGGCTTCAGTTTCTTTTTTTTTTTTTTGAAGTCAAATTTTCAGAAGGTTTAAAGTGTGTTGGAAACCCCCAAGGAAGCCGAAATTCGAATAAAATCTGGACTCAAGCACTAGTTTCATTTT